AGAGAGAGAGAAGCGTTATTTATTTCAGCGCTTCTGGGACAAGTCCCCTAAAGCGCACCATAAATAAAAATACAACGTAATAAAAATATTACAAATAACAATACATAACTTACTTATAAATATAAAGTAATAGAAATTAACAATACAATATAATATAATATAAATTGATAGAAATTAATTTTAACGAAAAATAACAGAAGTGTGCAAGAATTAACAAATGTAAAATGATATAAAAATGATACCAACATAATTATTAATTAAGGCGCAACACAGCTAACTGTTTTCGCCACTGACCAGCAAATGACTGAATAGTTTTACCTTAAATAAATCAAGAGACTGGATCACGCGTATACTCGATGGAATGAGATTCCATGCTACAACAGCAAAACATTCAAAAGAACGCTTGTAAGTCTCTGTGCGACAAAGAGGAACAAAGACATCATTGGCCGCGGCTCTAGTCGCTCTATCGGTCTCGCCACGGTAACGAAAGTTAGCAAAAAGCATAAGGGGCCTGCGAGTCGTCAATATAAGATATAACAAACTGCAGACAAAGTAGTTCCTTCTCTGGTCTGTCTTAAGCCACTGAAAAGTATGATAGTACGGAGTTATATGTGCATCTCTTCTGACATTAAAAATGTATCTGACGCATGCATTCATGGCTCTCTGTAGACGTAAATTATGCTCTGCAGTAATNTCAGTCATTATGCAGCAGCAATAGTCNAAATGTGGAAGAATAAGGATCGTGACNAAATTCTTCTTGAGTGGCTGAGGTAGCAGATNCTTGCAAAGCTTGAGCTGGTACAGTGCTTTCCGAACTTTACTTACAACGCTCGTCACGTGCTTGCCCCAGGAAAGGTTGTTAGAGATTGTGACTCCAAGATAGTTGACATGAGAAGTCAGTTGCACTGTAGTGCTTTCAACTTTAATATCAGGTAGCGTGTTATAGTCGATTGTATTAATAAATCTCGCCGACCCCAGGATGATAGCTTGAGTCTTTTCATGGTTCAAAACAAGTTTATTTCTTGTTGTCCAGGAGACAATGCTTCGTATGTTCGTGTTAATTTTAGCGATGCTATTCGAAAGATCACGCGAGTCGCAATGAATGTATAACAGCAGGTCGTCTGCGTAAAAATTGTACTTACAGTGCGACAAAATGCCGCCAAAGTCTTTTAGATACAAAGTAAATAAAAGAGGTCCCAGAACGGAGCCCTGAGGAACACCAGCATNTAATTTAGCCNAAGATGATAATCTAGAAGTTACANGATCACGAACTACNTGGGATCTATTGATTAAGTAGGACTTTAACCAATTGAGAGCATGACTCGAAAAATTATAGCTAGCCAGCTTATCCAATAAGATCGGACATTGCACCCGATCAAATGCCTTAGAGAGATCAAAGAGCACCCAGATCGTGATCATCCTTTTGTCAACAGCTTTCCTGACGTNGTCTANAATCCTGATTACACTGGTCTGTGTAGAGTGTCNTTTTCTATACGCAAACTGACAGGGATCNCACAGAGCATTATNCTCTAGATAACCTTGCATCTGCTCACATACGATTCTCTCAAGAGCCTTTGAAATTGTTGGCAGTATTGCGATTGGTCTGTAATGCTGTGGTAGAGAAGGGCTCTTTATCTTCGGTATTGGGCATACTACAGACGTTTTCCAGCAATCCGGGAAGGTGCCATAAGATAGTGAGTAATTAAATATGTGTTCAATGACCGGCATGATGTAAGGCAGGACCAATTTTATGATGTTAATCGAGATGCCGTCACTACCAGTGGCCCCTGGACTTGATCCTCGAGAGAGCTCGGTTAATATCCTTCGGATAGATGTAATTCCAGTGAAACTTGCCGTCATCGAACACTTCCCGCAGAAAGTTCATGTCCATCGATTGTTCAACATCATCATCGACCACATCACCGGTCACCTTTACAAAGTAACTGTTTAATTCCTCAGGAGGACCAGATAGACATCCAACTGCACTTCTAGACTTAATCAGTCCCAATTGCCGCAATTCAGACCAGACAATTCCTGAATCTTTCGTGTTAGAGAATAAAGCAAGATAGTGATTGTTCTTAGCCGTGCGCACNATGTTTTGCACATCATTTCTGAGTATTCTGAAAGCAGCATATAGGTCAGTCTTTCAATCTCTACGCCATCTTCTGCGTGCTCTATCCCGTTCTTTCATCGCTTCTTTGATCCTGTCAGTCAGCCATGGAGCTGGCGGGCGCCTGAAACTGTCATGTCGCAGTAGCGCATGATTATCAACACAGCGTAACACCTCCCAATTAAACGTGACAACTTTCTCGTCAAGTGAGGTCAAGGACATCAGACCGCCCCAGTCAACACTCTGCAAGTCCCGCGTGAAAGCGATCTTATCAAAACTTCCAAAGTCTCTGTAAGTAATAGTCCTCTTTAGTAGTCTCTGAGTACAAATATTGTACTTGATGTGGATGAGATCATGCGCTGACAGAAACGGCATACAGTGCTGTCCGTATGCGATAATTTTATCCGGGTCGTCGACAATACAAAGATCCAGCAGAGTACTNGAGTGAGCCAAGTGATGCGTGGCCTGATACGGGACNAGATGCAAACTANCCGACTCAACAAATGTAAGCAGCTNAGAGCTGTCAAAAGTGGTGACCAGCAAGTCAGTATTAAAATCTCCTAAAATGAGGGAGTGCCTATAGCTCACCTGAAGATCAAGAAAGGCATTNTCAAATTCTTGCAAAAAACCGCAATTAGGTGGTCTATACACAACAGCAAGAAGTAGGCTTGCCNCGTTAGGAAAGAAGATCNCGGCAATAATGTATTCTGGTTTCCGGCAATANAAATTTTCCGAAGTCATANCGATGTTTGCTCTAAGAGTGTTGTAAAGATAAAAGGCAACACCGCCTCCACCCTTGCCAATCCGATCACGTCTGTGCAGTGAGTAGCCGTGGAGATCAACCAGATGATCCGCAATCTCAGGTTTGAGCCAAGTTTCAGAGATGCAAATTAGGTGATAACGAGATTTGCCAAAGAAGATCTTAAATTCGTTGAGATGAGCGACTAAAGACTGACAATTTACATGACAGACACTAAGATAGTNTAGATCTTGTCTGTCACCCATAATTGATATTCGATACTTTATTGGCAATTCTTCTGCTCAGAATCGGACATTTNTTCGCGTCAGTAGCGGCATGATTCAGATCACTGGTGGAAGAGTTTCTGTTTCTTAAACAATTACAGCATCTTAGGTCAGTCTTCTTCTTGCAATCTCTCATCTGGTGCTCATCACCGCAGTAACCACAAATCGCCTTGGATTTGCAATTTTTAGCAAGATGTCCAAATGTTAGACAGTTATAACACTGTAATATTCTCACANAGTCTGCAAATCTACAGGCTGAATACCTCAAATAGATACGGCCTNGGTTTAATAATATGTTTCTAATCATAGAAGAGACCTCAAGAACGCAACTTGTAGTGCNACTTTNAGACTTTGCAGGATACAGATAGACCACTCTCAGATCCATCTTGTTAACGTCTTCTAAGTTTTGAGCCACAATTTCATCTACAATTTCTTCAGCAGACATTCCAATAGGAACGTTATGTATTATAAGCCTGGGATTGACTTTCGTATTTTCAACTACTTTCAAGCCCGNTTTAGCTAGTCCAGGGTNTGCCTTGATGAGATCCATATTCGGTGAAATTGCATCAATTTTAACACTGTTCTTGTGAGCNAAGGATATTCTATNAATTTTTAGTGCACAATNCGAAGGCTTGAAGACTTTGCATAATGCCTCCTTGGTGGCCTGCGAGGATTCGTAATCATTGACTCNTTCCTCAGGCATGACAAGAAATGATGTTGAGGGTGGCACATTCACTGTAGGCCCTCCAGAGACACGGATTCTACTCCCGCCGCCAGTCACAGAAGCATAGGACCGAGGCANATATTCTGACACGTTTTGTACTCTGCACGATGCAGNACTCACCCGCTCACTCGCCGGTGTCGCATCGCTTTTGATTTCTCTGAGAGAATCTGCAACAACTCTCNTGATATCATCCAAGGTGGGACAGTCCGTGAGTTTATNCTCCAAAATATGAGNNAACACCGAAGAGACCTCGATAAAAGCCTCCCTACAAGCCCTAAAAGCCGATTCAATCATGGATTTTTTATCAATNGTTTCTTTACTGGTCAGCAGCAACCTGGAAACAACATCGCTATGCCTATCTACAGAAGCCTTNAGCGCATTTAATTTAGAGATATTAATGCGAGTATTAGCAGTAACATTAGAGCCACTAGCCACTCTGACAAGCTTGCGCATTCCCGCAGGAGAACCGCTTTNANCCTCCGCGCTCTCCATCGTCGGCNAGGTGGAATCCTTCCTTGACATCNGAGCTACCGAGAAATCGCAGGGCGATTCCTCGAAATCCGCCAATCAGTGAGATGATGCACGCCCAGACTCACACACATGCGCACACAGCCCAGGGCGGCCGCCGCAATGGCCGTAATTTGACAGCAAACCGTCAACGATAGAAATAAGCTGATAACAGTCCGAGCCGAGCACCTCCAGATAAAAATATAGTTGCGTAGCAAACCAAAAAGGCACAGGATGCTTACCAACTACAAAAGAACCGCCCCACAGGGCGAAGAAAGGCAGTAAATAGTCAAATCAAGCAGAGCGACACAAAAGACGTCTACACGTGTACTCACCGCTAGAGAGAGCAGACAGAGATAAGCAGAAGAAACCTCGAGAAATGTCTCCTTACATACTCTGAAAGCCGATGATATAATAAGGTCCGCGAGATGCTCGACGCGGCCTACGAGAAGGGATTTTCCCTTGTAGGCGCGTCGAGAAAGGAGGTGGCGGACTGCGGGACACAGGCCGGTGGACCTGTGCTCGCCCCGCAGGCAGGAGGAGCAAATCGTCTCTCTCATCAGAAGAGAGCTTGCCCCTCACACCTCGGGCGCACTTGCCTCCGAATCCGCCCCGTCCACATGGGCGACGGTGGTAGGGCGCAAGGCGCGAAGGAGGGGGAAAAACCCCTCTTCCTGAGAAAAAACGTCGCCCTCCCGCGGCCCCCGTAGGCGCGAGTCAGCGCTTCGGGGCGGCGGAAAGGGCAAAACTCAGCAGGATCCCCAGTGGGGCTGCCGTCCTCCTTACCGTGAGGGAGGGCGGCAGTTATGCCGATGCTATGAAGAAGGCGGCGGCCGCCGTCAATTTGAAGGAGGTCGGGATTTTCGGCCTCCGGATAAAGAGAGCGGCCAACGGAGGTATGCTCCTCCAGGTACACGGGCCTGGAGGAGCGGAGAAGGCCGACGTTCTCGTTGAGAGAGCGTCAAAAGCGTTGGAGGGCAAGGAGGGGGTAAAATTCACCCGTCCCGTTAAGCACGCGGAAGTCTGCGTGCGGGACGTGGTGCCTCCCCTCTCCGCGGAGGACATTGCCGCCGCATTAACGGCGGCAGGTGGTTGCCAGCCCAGTGAGGTTCGCACTGAGCTGGTTTGCTCCTCTCCCGTCGGGTACAAGACCTTGTGGGCCCGTATGCTCTTGAAGGCGGCCCGGCGGGTAGTGGGGGCGAAGCGCATCAAGGTGGGGTTAAGCTTCCCCGTCGAGGCACTGGTAGCGCGGCAAATGCAGTGCTACCGGTGCCTGGAGTATGGCCACGTGGAACGCAAGTGCTCCGGAGTAGACCGGAGCGCGGCGTGCTACCGTTGCGGGGAGGATGGCCACCTCGCCATTACGTGCAAGGCTGTCCCCAAGTGCACTTTGTGTGCGAGCCGGGGTCAGCCAGCAAACCATCGGATGGGCGGCGCAAGTTGCGATCCCATCCCCAAAAGGAACATAGCCTCCAGGCGGGGCGCCAGAGTTCCGGCGCCTTCGCTGCCACCCGGTAGCAAGGAAGGTGTGGAGGGGACGGCGTCTGTCCCCTTCCCGAAAAAAAAGAGAAAGCGGTGGGCCCGAAGTGCCGGGTCTGGCGGTGACTCCTTTGGTTTGGAGAAGGATGGAGATGGGTTATACCTCCTTTCCCCGGAGGAGGGCTTGGTCCGGTTGTAGCCGGAGGAGGGCAAAGAACGGAAGGATGTTCCTCTCTCGTCCGCTTCCTCTAAGAGCACGAAGCTCGCCGCGGGCGGAAGGGGGGAGGCCGCTGTGACCCCCCCAGATACGGGGCCCTCCGGTCTCCGGGAAGAGCCGGAGACTAAAGAAAAGAGGGGTGGGGACGGCGCGGTGCCTCCCGCTCTCTTCAAAAAAAGTTTGACCGGAGCCAGAGACTGCAAGGTCGCTGGGCCCCGGGCATCCAAGGGTGCGGTGCAAAAAGCGCCAGGTTTAAGAGGAGGCTCCACTAAAGAGCCCTCTCCCAAGCGGCAGAGGGGAGGTAAATCAGCCTCCTTCCTAATTGGAAGACAGAAACCGGGACCTAAGTCCTCCAAGTCGAGCAAATAGGCTCGGCTAGAGATCCGGGATCTTATTTTGGTATGTTGAGGTTCCGGGAGTAACCTGGTAAAGATCCCACCAGAAAAACGGGCGCAGGTCATACACACGTTACGTCTGGCTATCGCATCGTACTATACAAGCACCTTGCTCGCCAAAAAGGACCAGAAGAAGGTGTTTGAGGTGGCCATGCGTCATGGAGTGAGCAGTCACTTCATGCGCACTGACAGTTTCACTCGCTTTGCCGACTGGCGTTTCTTGCACCGAGCCCGACTTGACGTATTGCCGCTCAACGGCGCACGTCGATGGTG